GGATTTAGGGTGGGAGAGGCTAAGGCAGGCTCTTTCCCAGCCCTGTAGAGCTAGGAAAGTGTCAGTGCTTCACAGCTAAGTTGTTTGATGCTTCAGAGCAGACAGTAGCTGAATTTAGGCACCCTCACTGCCCGGGGAGAGGATAATCTGCTTTGGAGCAGGGCACGTGGTGTACTTGAGCTTGGCTTTGCTGGCCGGGCTGGTTTGCAGCTGGAACGACGATGGGGCGAGCCAGCACTGGGAAGCCTTCACCTCCTCGCTGTGTGTTCGCCTTTCTCCGTCCTACGCCTTCCCAATCACGCTGCTAGGAAGCTGCTTTAGCAAGAGGGGTCTCCCCCGGCAGGGAGGTAAAGAGAAGACCCCCAGCCAGCACTGGGGATGAGTAATCCTGCCTTTCTCGCCGACTCTTTGCACGAACACCAGCAAATCGTGTCCCTGGCCTTTGCCTTGGGTCTGCAAATCCAAATAAACTCTTCACTCGCCTTTTCTTGGTCCCTGCAAAAAGGGGGTTATAAAAAGGAGGGCTCAGGCACCGCACTTGCCTCATTCGCTGCTGCAAGGAGAAACTCTGGATTGCCGTTTGTCCTCCTTTGCGTCCTCTGCTGTGACCACGAGCTAGCCCTTTGCTGCCTTCGTTTCCCACCCCCCTTTTCCCTTTTGCTCTCTCTTCTCTGTTTGCACTTTTATAGACTTATCTCGTGTTGCTGCCTGTGTCTCCCCAGAGGCAGGCAATGGCTCGCTCCCAAATCAATGCCACGTTCCTAGACAGCAACCCGGCGGTGTCAGTCCACCTTCAGTGCGGCATTTCATTTTCCTGCTGGGCGTAACTCTGCCCTGCTGCAGTGACATGAGCACTTAGCAGCCAGGACCTTCCAAAGCCAGCAGCCTTTGGAAGCGCTGAGTGGTTTTCAGCCAGGCTTGGATGGTATCGATTGCTTGAGAGCTTTGGCGGTGTCGCCTTTCCCCGAAACCAGGTGCGTCTGGAGTTGTTCGAGCAGGTTTCCTCCTTCCTGAGATCCGTCAGGGCTGCGCGGTGGCGGCCTCCTTGTACGTTTGAGCACCTCCAGCCTTCCTAGGAGGGGCCGGGTCGGCAGGAGAGCTCCTGCGCCCTGTGCCGTGACGTCGTCGGGGGTGGCCAGGCAGCCGCAGGGCCTGGCTTCGTTTAGGGGCAGCCTTCTCGTCTTTGCGAGGCGTCGAAGGCCAAGGATGGGTCCTTCTTGATGCCCTGCTCCTCCTCGGGCTGCTTCTGCTCTGGGTGTGGAGTCTTCCTCCAGCAGCTCCGTGCTCTGCTCAGGCCCCTTCAGCTCTGACTTTTCTAAATGGGAAGCCCGAATTTTGAACCCCAGAACGGGTCAGAGCCTCCAGGCTCCAGGCCTCCTGTTTCCTCCAGGCCCCGCTGCGTTTCGACCCTTTTCTTGGCAGAGGCCCCTCGCGGCAGCCTGGCCGTAGCCGCGATGCCCTTTCCCGGACCTTGGCGCTTCGCTCTCCCCTAGCCCCGCGTCTCTCCGCAGCAGAGCCTGCCA